TAACATTTCAGACAATTGCACATCCAGTGGAGCTCAAGAAGTTGTCACCAATAGGTGTGGTGCAGTGAATCACTTAATGTGACCCTTCCAGCCATAGTTTTGTGACTCCCACCAAGTGACTGAGTAGGACTATGCAAATGAGGTGCTTGTGGCCCACCAAGGGGATTGGATAGCCTGCTAATAATGTAAATAAGGTCCGTAGCACCCTTATGGGGGGTAGGCCCATGCAAATAAGGTGTATGAGATTCTAACAAGGGGAATGGTCAGTTTTGCCATCTCTAGGCTTGTAAGAGAGCCAAATGCAGAGCAGAAAGGGGACCTCAAGTTGATCAAAAAAGAGGTGGGAATGGAGTGCGTGCTCTGGACCCAGGGTCCCTGCTCTGGGAGCTCCCTAGACCCAGGAGAGAGAGCTGTAACCCCAGAGAGGCAACGAGAGGTGGTGGCAGAGAAAAAGGGGCAGCAGAGGCAGCCAGCCCGGGAGACCGGCTGGAAATGGCATGATAGAGCGAGAAAGCTGAGTGACTTCAGACCGAGGCTTACTGGCGGAGTGGGGTGCCTCTGGGCACTTAGCAGCAGAGCTGAAAGACCTGTGTGACACTTGCCCAGACAGGGCAGAGGCCAGGTGGCCCACGATGCCTCTGGAGAGGAGGGGTAGTGAGGACTAGAGAGGCTCGCCTGCGGGCACGGCTGAGGGGAGGCGGGCCTGATTGAAGACTGTGTCCTGAGTGTTCCTGAACCTGAATTGTAACCTGGTACTTCCTGGATAAACCACATAATTGTGAGCGTGGTCTCTGGGTTCAGTGTGGCCACTGTGATTATTCATTGAACCCAGCAGAGAAATAGTGTCTTGGGAGGGATGGCTGGTGTCGGGATTGGTACAAAGGTCAGAGAGAAGATGCAGGTCTGACCTAATCAGCCTTGGGTTGTTGCCGCTGCTGTGAACCTCCTCCCAGTTTATGAAGACAGGTGGCCGGGCCTCCTTGGCCACACCATTTAGCAGTAGGTGACACAGCAGACACTCCCCTCATGTCCCCTGCAGGGGGCTAACTCAGCTGGCTCTAATAGCTCCGTGTCATTAGGAAGCAATGACAGTGACCCTGAAGCTACCGGACCCTGGCAGAGGGACACGGGGAGCTGTCCCTGCCCCAGGGAGGAAGGGGGGGACCACTTTCTTCTCCTTCTTTCTCAGCAGACTTTGGTGGGGAGCAGAGTGTGTGTGAAAATATTCCCCAAAAAAGGTCATTATTTCAAAAAAACCAGAATAAAAAGACCTCCTGGACTTGGGATCACTCCTGATACACTTTTGATTCTCAGGTCTGATTACCTAGGTCCCAGTTATAGCATGTGATCAACTCTGCTTTGAACAGCCTGGGCCTGGAAGTGACGACTCCTAGCCAGAGGGTCACAGGCTTCTTCCCGAGTCAGGAATCCTTGGCCAATAGCTGCCATCCCTTTGTTGAAACCATTTGATTTGCTCCCTTGGCCCCCTCCACCCCTATTCCTGGGCCTGTCTTGTCTCCTTAGTCTTCACAGCACTGCTCACAGCCGCGTCCTGGGGAGCTCTGTAGATCCCAGAGCAGGACGTGTCAGCTTTCAAACGCTGGCCCACAGCGCAAGTGCACCTGGGCCAGTGGCGTCTCAGGGAATGCCGCAGCCCTTCTGATGGGGCAGCTTGGACAATGTGTTCCCGCCACTCGCTTTTCCACCGAGTTCTGCCTGCAGTTCCGTTATATGTGACCCCCATCAGGACTGAACTGGCTGGAGACAAAAACAAACAAAGTCTGGGTATGATTTGGGGGGAAAAGGCCCTCAGAGGAATAAGAACCGTTGCTGTCTGTACCTTTCCAGAGTGAATGAAGGCAGGCACAGCCATCCCCGCAGCTGTGGACCCACGTGAAAACCCAACTCACTGCCATTGACTTGGTCCCAACATGTAGTGACCCCCATCGGGTTTGAAGGCTGTAACTCTTTATGGAAACAGACGGCCTCATGGGTCTTCTGCAGAGCAGCTGCTGGGTTCAAACCACTGACTTTCTGGTTAGCAGCCAAATGCCTTATCCACTACACCACCAGGACACAACTAAAGTCTCAGCTAAACTTCTAAAATGTAAATCACTTATTCCCATGGAAACTGCCACGATTCCCAAGGGAAAAGACATACAAAATTTGAAAAGAAAAGCGGAATGCTGGCTCCCAGCTCAGGTAAGCCTGGAGGCAGTGGCATCCCTAAGGCTGGTGTCACCCAGTGCAGTCACTCACGATGTCACCCCACTCAGGCCCTCTTCCCGTCCCAGACCACACAGAATCTTTAGTCACGTTTATCATCAGTTTAATCCCAGCATAATATGTGATAACTATGGTTGTAATGGTTTAAAGGTCAAACTACTTAGACTAAATAAACACTAACCACAAATTGTTTTGTAAAATCTTTCTACATTGAATTGCACCATGACTAGTTACAGCATGATTAGTAACTGAGCAGAAGGCCTTTTAAATTTTCCCCCCTCCTTTCCTTTAATTTCGACTTCATTCTCAAACAGGGTATTGCTCCAGGTCCCAAAATAGATCAGCATGATGAAATTACAGTTTTACTTCAGCGTGGTCAGCACGGGCTGCCCCGTCCCTCTGGACCACTGGCCCTGAACAGGTACCAACCCGCCCAACTCCTGGCCACGGTGTCGGTGTTCCGACATACCGGGTGTGAACAGGACCAGTGCCAGGCTCCCAGCACATGGACACAATGCCAGCATTTAGTGGATACCGTGAGAATAAAGGAACACTGCGCAAACACCCCCTCCCTGACAGTCAGGTGTATTTAATTACAGGGAATTGACATGAAACGGATTACATAATTGTATTACCACCTGGGCCATTGCCAGGACTCCTGTAAAAACTGAGTCACCCACAGCCTATAGCTTTTGTTGGCAGACTAGTTATTCGTGGAGTCACTGACCACTCCTGCCTCTAAGTGCTATTCCAGAGAGAAGTCTTCAGGGCCCCCTGGCCCACATCACGCAGATGGGCAGTTGTCCGTATGGAGCCCTCATGGTGCAGCGTTTAAGCACTCAGCCGCTAACCGAAAGGTCAGCTGTTCAAACCCCCCAGCGGCTCCACGGCTGAAGACCTGGCACTGCTCCCGTAAAGATTACAGCCTAGAAAAGCCTATGGGGGCAGTTCTGCCCTGTCACTCAGAGTGGCCTGAGTCACCTGGGAGTGGTCTGAGACATGTAAATGACCCCACCATCTCCTGCTCACCCACAGTGAGGTGCTTGCCGGCCAAGCAGCTGCGTCACTGGAAATGTTACTGGGTGGGGACGTTTTTGTTGATCAGAATTCCTCTGGGAAGAGCACTATGTGAGCTTGGAAGGACATTTTGACAGATCTCTGGGGGCTGGGGACAGTAGGGAGGGGCTGAGTCCACAGGTGGCTCAGCTGAACCAAGAGTGTTTACTAAACAGATGGGGTGCCCAGGCGGGCGTCAGTGGTACCTGCAAGCTCAGGGCTTAAGCCAGATTCTCAGGTCCGAGGAGAGGAGAGTGAGCCCACCCTCAAACCTTTCTAGCAGGTACACTTGGAACAATAGGCGAAGACCCTGCCCTTCAACTCCCCTGACCCCGCACGTCCCCCCAGGGGATCCATGTTCACTGCAGGGCAGTTACTTACAGGGCTCACCCTTCACTGGAGTTGGCATTGCTTATAACAGGAAACATGCCTTTCAACTCCGATTTCCAGCATCCAACACAAGACGTGGTAGACAGTGTGGCTCTTAACCAGTATTCATACATATACATGTATGTATGAAGGAGCTCTGTTGGCGTGGTGCCTAAAGCATTTGACTGCTAACTAGAAGGTTGGCGGTTCAAACCCACCAGCTGCTCTGTGGAAGGAAGATGGGGGTGTCTACCTCCATAAAGATTTACTGCCTTGGAAAGCCAACAGGAGTCTCTATGACTTGAAATGGACTTGACAGCAGTCAGTTTATGTATGTATGTATATGTTAATGCATGTGGACACACACACACACTTCTTTTTCCTCACAATGCCAGCGAGCAAGAGTTTGTTTCTAAGGACTTATTGACTCATGATAGTGTCTGAAATAAACCCTAAGACCAACCCACTGCCATTGAGTCAATTCCAAGTCAGGGTGCCCCCAGAGGATTGAGGAGAGCTGCCCCGGAGGGTTTCCCAGCTGTAAACTGGACCCATAGCCACCTCTACGGAGGCAGACTCCTCACCTTTCTCCCGCAGAGCAGCTGGCGGACTTGGACCAACAGCTTTCCGTCAGCAGCTAGCTGCGTGATTTACCACTGCACCCGGGGCTCTGGCAGTCCTCAGGGCAGACCTTTCCGAATCAAGGCTGGCAGCTGCAGTCATAACATGAATAAGTCTTCTTCTTTTGCTTGTGATAAAGGTCACCTTTGTTACCTGCACCTCATCTGTAAAAGGTCAACTGAATTGCATGGACGTTAAGTGACAGGACTGGGGTCATGTAGACTCACTTCAGAATTCACAATCCGAAATGAGCGTGTCCTCTGGGGCCACATGGGAGTTAACAGGGAGCCGGTGGGGCGCAGAGTGCGGTAAGCATGTCAGCTTCAGTCTTGGTACCGAGTAACCGGTCCCCAAGACTTCATGCTGCTGGCAAGTTTCTTTATTGGTCAGAGGTAAGTTTCCAGAGCCTTTGACAAAGATTAAGTTTTGGCCAAATAATTTTTCATCCCTTCATCTCCCATGGAGAAGGTTTAAAAGTTGGCCTCATAAAACCCAAACCAAACTCACTGCCATCAACTCAATTCCAACTCATAGCAACCCCATTGGGTTGCCAAGGCTGTAAATCTTTCCAGAAGCAGACTGCCTCATCTTTCTTCCTCAGAGCAGCTGGTGGGTTTGAACCACCAACCTTGTAGTTAGCAGCCAAATGCCTTACGCACTGAGCCCCCAGAGCTCCTGCCCTGTTCTTACAGACTTCAGCCTTTATAAACAGCTCTCTCTGCCCCTAGGTATCAAGATACAGAGAACATTCAAAGACGGTCTCCAGGGTCAACACCCAAGGCGAATTCCCAGGCACCTGCAGTGAGAAGGAAGATGGGGACCCACGGCGAGTCGGCTCGAGAGACCCATATGCTCAACAAGCAGCCAGAGAGCATAGCCCGCGTTGCTAAGGAGACCAGACCAGCAGGGGCCTGGGGGGTCTCACCCAGGGAGCAGCACAGAGCACCCCCCACAGCAAAGGCAGGGGAGCCGGAGAGTCAGGGAGAAGAGAAAACCACAGAGGGGACCCTGTCACTGGGAACTCAAGAAAAACAGGTGCCCACAGACAGGACAGGGCTGCTCTCACAGCAGAGCCAGGACACGCAGGTGACCAGAGGGAGGGGGCAGCAGCACCCACACCCGACAACCCCAAGAACAGGGTCCGTGAGGCGTCGGGACACAGGGGCGACCGCGGCAGAGACGCTGACCACAGTGAGGGCGGAGGGAGGGACCACAGCGGTCGGCCGGGAAAAGAGCCCCCCGGCGAGCATCAGGCCCCGGACGAAAGCCAAAGTGAGGCTGAAGGGTCCCACCGCACAAGCAGCCCAAAGACTAAGGGCTGCCAACTTCCAGTCCGAGCCTCGGTGGGATTTTGAGGAAAATTATAGCTTGGAAGTGGGCGGCCTACAGACGGTGAGTTCTCCCACCATGTCGCCCTGTCGCTTCCTGCCCTGAAGCCCCGCCGGGCAGGCAGCCCGCCTCTCCCCTGTCCCCTCCTGTGAAGGACAGCTTCTTGGCTTTGCCTTGTCCACTCCATGCTTGTCATGGAGGAGGGCTGAGCCCCCTGCCTTCATCCTGTGCTCCCTTCCCTGGAGGAGGAGAAGGAGGAGAAGGCCCCAGAGCCCTGGCCGGGGCAGCACGGGGAGGTGGGAGCAGCAAGGGGCCTGTCCTGGGGCTGCCGGAGAGGCCATCAGGACCTGCTCTGGGCCTTGACGCTCGAATCCCCGTCTTCTGGGAGGTCGTGGGGTGGTGGTCACTCCATCCTCACGCACAGCCCCAGCCCCTGGAAATGCCGTGTGTCCCTGCAGAGCTAAGACCACGGCCTTCGGTATCTCTCAGCCCTAAGGGAGCAGCTTGGGCCCGTGCACCCATGGGTGCCTCCTCACGCCCCTTCCACGGTGGGAGGAGGCAGGGGAAACGTCGAAAACGTTCCTGTCTGCACACACACACGTGCAGCCTCGTGGGCCCACAGCACAGGGACACCAGTCTCTCACACTGGGCCGCTCTGTCCTGAGGTCCCTGAGGTCCGAGGACTGGAACCACTGGCCCGCACGGGGCCAGGCCAGTGGAGGGGGGTCTGCAGCCCCTGGGAGTGGTAGGATGTTGCAGCTGTGTCCCCCGCCCCCGCTCCGAGGCCTGCTTTCTGCTCTCTGCACCCCAGTCCCTGGCCAGTGGTCTCCCCGGCCACGCCCTGCCTGACCCCGCCCCCCTGCATATAGACCTGCCCCGACTCGGTGAAGGTCAAAGCTGCCCAGTCTCGGTGGCTGCAGCCCCTCTTTCTGCCCAACCTCACCCTCTTCCTGGACTCCAGACGCTTCAACCAGAGCGAGTGGGACCGCCTGGAACACTTCGCACCACCCTTCGGTTTCATGGAGCTCAATTACTCCCGTGAGTCCTGGGCCCGTAGGACGGGGCTGGGTGGCAGGCGCTGGGCCTCCGGCCTGCCTCCTCCCCGGGTCAGACTCTGGGCCGATGCCTGGTCCTTCCCCGGCTGAGCGGAGACTCCCCCTCGTTGCAGTGGTGCAGAGGGTCGTGACCCGGTTCCCCCCAGTGCCCCAGCAGCAGCTGCTCCTGGCCGGCCTCCCTGCGGGCGAGCCCCGGTGCGTCAGCTGCGCCGTGGTGGGCAACGGAGGCATCCTGAACAACTCCAGGGTGGGCCAGGAGATTGACAGCCACAACTACGTGTTCCGGTGAGCGGTCCCGCCCCGCGCCCCGGGCCTGTGCCACCCCAGAGCTCCCAGCACACTAGGGTGGCCTTGAGTTTCTCCTTCCCGGCCCGCGCTCCTCGGCCCGCCCGGCGCCGGCTCACTCTGTCTCTCTGGTACAGACTGAGCGGAGCTGTCATCAAGGGCTACGAACAGGATGTGGGCACGCGGACGTCCTTCTACGGCTTCACCGCCTTCTCCCTGGCCCAGTCCCTCCTGCTGCTGGGCAACCGGGGTTTCCAGCACGTGCCTCTGGAGAAGGTGAGCGCGGAGGAAGGGGCCTGGCCACGCCTAGACTCTGGGTAAGAGCACAGGGGCCCAAGGGGAGGGGACTCCCTGTGCTGGAGTCTGGGTTGGGGCAGGCTCTGTTCAGGACCAGGGAGCCCTGCCAGCCCCGGCCCCAGGAGAGCAAGGCCTCGGGAAGGCAGCTCCCGGCCCACTCGCTGCCCTTGGTCCTCAGGACGTCCGCTATCTGCACATCCTGGAAGGTACCCGGGACTACGAGTGGCTGGAAGCCCTGCTTCTGAATCAGACCCTGATGGAGAATAACTTCCACTGGTTCAGGTACCCGCTGCCCTCGCCCCGACCCCCCGCTGAGCTGTGGAGGGCACAGCGTTAGCCACCGGCTGGAGATGGGTACTGCCACCAGTCACTCCCCTGAGCCTGCCCTAGGAGATAAGAGAACTGGGCCTGAACAACCCGTTCCCGACCTCAGGCGGCGGCCCCTGGAGGCTTTTCGGGATGCCTTGCACTTGGACAGGTACCTGTTGCTGCACCCGGACTTGCTCCGCTACATGAAGAACAGGTGAGGGCTGACCCCGCGGGGCCTGGCCAGGCCCCTCTTCCTGCAGACTCCTGACAGCTGGGGCTCTGGGGTGATTCGCAGGTTTTTGAGGTCTAAGACACTGGACACTAGCCACTGGAGGATATACCGCCCCACCACAGGGGCCCTCCTGCTGCTCACAGCCCTTCAGCTATGTGACCGGGTAAGGCTCGGCCTCGGCCAGGGAACCTGCAAGAACAGCCCGCCTGCTCCTGGGCCTGCGCAGCCCGGGCCAATGGCTGGGCCGGATGCGTGGTTCCCAGAGGGGGAAGTGAGCACAGGGGTGTGCGAGTGGGGGGGGGGGTGCACGAGTACACATGCGTTGAGGGGACCTGCGCCCAGACCCCTAGGGATGGAATCAGTAAGGGAGACCCGTCCCCCGACACACACACACACACACACACACGCGGAGCCCGTCAGGGGCAGCAGCGTAACTCGTCCACCCTGTGTGTAGGTGAGTGCCTACGGCTTCATCACCAGCGGCCACGAGCGCTTCTCTGATCACTACTACGACAAGTCCTGGAAGCCCCTGATCTTTTACATGAACCACGACTTCAAGTTGGAGCGGGCGCTCTGGAAGCGGCTTCACGATGAAGGTCTGATCCGGCTGTACCAGCGCCCAGAGCCTCCGCAGTGACGCTGGCCGAGGCCGCGGCGCCCGTGCGCGGGGAGGCCCGAGACCCTTGTACCGTCCGTGCCGGGGGCACACGGACAGAGAGGAGTCTCGCTCCAGATGGCAAAGGAGCCGGTGGCACTGGGGTCTTGCAGGCTTGCTGCAGGGTCTGATTCCCGAGGCCAGGGACTTCGCTGCAGGAGGTGGTAAGAGGCCGAGCCCGCCCACTCTGCTGGGGAGCACCCTCGCTGGCCAGAGCGCCTTGGGACGGTGGGAAGAGACCGGACTGCTGGTCACATAGGTTTGGATTTGAGGTTCCGGTCCTCTGCTTCCCGGTTGCGGAATCGCAAAGACACTCATTTCGCGACGGGTGGTCTAGAGGACCCTTCCAGAGCTCATCTGATTGGAGAGGGCCTGCACTTTTAATAATAGACTTGGAGATACATCACAGCTCTGTGGGTTGTAGAAAACTGGTAGCAATACAAATAATTTTTGCCCATGAAGATGCAACTGAAAGCTGTACAATGAAGACGCTCTTAGTGGCCGCTCTGTGGAGAGCGGCCAGTTTCGCGTTTTCGCAAGTTCCCTTCGGCGTGCCTGCGTGCCCGCGTGCCTGCGCGCTCTGTTCTTTGGACTCTCTTTAGAACCAGTTTTTATATCCTACTTCATTAATGAATGAATTTAATGACATCTTTGGCGTGTGTTCATTTTATATTTGGAGGGGAGTCATGATTTTACCCTTTTAAAAAAAAAATCATCCTTTAAAACCAGTCAGTCCCAGAAGGACAAATAGCGAACGGTCACACTTTATAAGAAGACAAAGTGGATTTATGTACAGAGACTGACTAGCGACGGGTGGGGGAAGGGAGGAAGCACCCTCAAGCTAGTAGATGCTTGTTATTTTTGACGATGGAAAATGTCACACTGCATGTGGGTGTAGTGCACACAGCTTGACCAAGGTAAGTGATGTAACTAAGAACTGTGCAAGGGAAAAGAATATTTTTGGTAAAGGATATGACATACAAAACACCAAACAAAAACCCCGTGTGTGGTTACACAGATATGCATATAGGCATATGTGGTAGTTGTATGCAGATACCTGTGTGTGCACAGAGAGCTGTACACACAGGTATGTGTGTGCATGCATGTATATTCATATGTATAATAAACCACACAGGGACACAGGGACAGATACTTCTCAGACATAATCAAACACCTCGAAAGATTGAATTGAGGGCTTAAGGCCATATCGTCCTGTGGGACAACCCAGTTAATGGCTCAGCACAGTTCATAAAGTTCTACCTCCCGAGGTGGTGAGTCGTGTCTGTGGTCTTAAAAGCTTTGAGCAGCCATCTAAGATACAACTGCTGGTCTCTACTCTTCCGGAGCAAAAGAGAAGAATGAAACCAAAGACCCAGGGAGGAAGTGGTCTACAGGATGAATGGCCCACACGCACCACGGCCCCATCCACCCTGAGACAGAACTAGATGGTGCCCGGCCACCACCACCCACCATTCCAATCGGGGCCACAATAGATCTTGATAGAAAGGGAGAAAAATTGGAACAGGACTCAAATTCGTTTTATATAT